TTCTCATCACAATGTAAATGCCATGGATTGGGGGCTGTCTCTTTTCTTTGTTGCTCTATTTCCAGGGCCTAAAACTAAAGCTTGGTAGGTGCCCAATAAGTGTGTGTTGAATAAATATTTCAAACTGTCCTGGAACCAAACCTTCTTGCCTGCAAGCAGAACAAGAGCTTCTGGTATGGCGGACCAGAACCCCAGCTGATGACCAACACCAACTGCACTTTAGCTGGTATCTGTCACTGTCTTTGACCACCCAGTTCACAACTATCCATGGGAGTGAGGAGGAGAAAAATGTACTGAGCAATAACATGCTTATTGCAGATTTGCTAAAGTTGAAGTTCACCCTTTCAGTTAAAGTTCTGGGGACACTGTAATTAACCCAAGAGGTTGATGGAAATTGAAGGTTACCTCAAAGTGCAGTGGAAGCTCTCAAATGCCACAGTTGTCCTCAGCCTAAGTCCCAAGAACCATGAACCAAGTAACCACGAACCAAAGTTTTGATGCCCTGGGTTGAACATAAAGTTACTAGCAGTAGGAAGTACACCCAACTGACCACTCTCTAAAGGAATTTTTGAGGTTCTACTCTTAAGAGGAATACATTATCTCTCCTTGTACTGATCAAAATGACATATTTGGGGGCCCTTCAAGTACCAGTACTTATCACCTGGGAAAGAGAAAAATTATGCACTTCTGTGGCCACCTGATGAAGAGGGGTTTTTCCCTGCCCAATATCAATAACACACATATGTACACTTACTGTACAATTTACAAAAAGTTGTTTTATCCACCTCCATTTACAAAATGGAGCCTATTCTTAAGGTGGGATCAGAACTCAAATGGGGGCAGGTCAAGTGAATAAACAGACACTGAAGGAGAGGAGTGCCTGGCCTGTCCAGAAGGACTGATGGGTGCTTTGTGGGAACATAGGCCTGGTGGGGGCAGGCAAACCCAAAATGCTATTTTTTCCATTAAAAAAATTCCAAATCCTGGCCCTGGCTGGTGTAGCTCAGTGGATTGAGTGCAGGCCTGCGAACCGCCTGTGAGCCAAGGGACTGTGGTTCGATTCCCAGTCAGGGCACATGCCTGAGTTGCAGGCCAGTTTCCAGCGGGGGACACATGAGAGGCAACCATACACTGATATTTCTCTCCCTCTCTCCTTCTCTTACCCTCTAAAGATAAATGAATAAAATCTTTAAAGAATTTTTTTCAATTCCAAATCCTAAAAAGTGGGTAAGTCCCCTAAAGTCTATTTGAGGCCTCCACGGGAAAGGTCTATCCATAAACACAAGACGCTCCTCTCACCTGCTTATCACATCAGCCCTAGCCAGTTACCTCTCTCACATTCCCATCATCCTGTTTGGTCACCATCTCCCTTACCCCAACTCCTGTGGCCTCTCCTACTTGTGACCGACTGATCTTGAGCAAAATCTGTCATGTTTTCAATCACTTCCCTAAACAGTGTCACTTTCTAATCTCTAAGCAAACCCAGTCTACCCTGAGGATATGCCTTCCCTTGTGCCCTTCCAAGTGCCCCCAGGTGCTACTTCCAGACCATTTTCCCTCCATCCTCTCCCCAAGGCCCAGCTATGAATCTTGTCATCACAGCAGACTGTGCCCACCTTGTGCACCACCTTCTGACCCAGACCACCACGACTCACCTCGCCATGATTGTAGCTTCAGGCTCACTGGCACTCTCCTGCTCCCATCACCTTCACTGCTGATTTCCATACCCAGGAAGGTGATCCTTGAACTATGCTGGTCTCTTGGTTCCCAGACCTCCTTTCCTCCAGTGATCCTGTCCTCTCTGGACCTCCCTCCCATGGTCACACCCAGACCTTGTCTGAAAAACTACAGCCTCACCCTGGCTGGTGTGGCTCAATGGTCTGAGCACTGGCCTGCAAACCAAAGGGTCTGCAGTTGGATTCCCAGTCAGGGCACATGCCTGGGTTTTGGGCCAGGTCCCCAGTGCAGGGCACATGAGAGGTGCCCACACACTGATGTTTCTCTCCCTCTCCTTCTCCTCTCTCTAAAAATAAATAAAACAAATTATTAAAAAAAATAACTGCGGCCTCTTCAGAACCTCAGTTTCATGTACCTAACTCAGTGCCCATTATATCCTATCTTTCTAGTTTACTTCCTCCAAAACCTCAATTCAACAAACCAATTAGCACTGCGACCTTCCCATGACCCTGCAGCCCCCTCAAGTCTTCATACAGATGAAATCCCTCACACATGTTCACTACACACTTCCCCCTCTCCGCCCTACCCATCAGGCAGAATTCTACGCAGCTGCATGTGGCTGGAGGAACAACTGTGAAAATCAAAGCCATCAGGAGAGAAAAAAAAAATCAAAACTGTTAAAAGCTTTCAAACAAACAACTTCAGATAAGCGAGGGCATTAGTTGACCCAACCAGACAGGAGTACTTCTGAAAGGTCAGGGGGTCCAGCCAGCTGCAGCAGCCAGGAAGGCCACTGAGAACAGAGAAGGGCCCTGCAGCCAGACCGGGCTTTGTCCATTACTATTGTGTGACCTTAGATAAGACCTGTAACTTTATCACCACACCCGGCTATCGTAAGGATTAAATAACGCCCGTGAGCTCAGAGTAAGCAATCGATGTTAGCCCCAAAGTCAGTTTTGACAAAGTCCAGGCCAGGTAACTAGAAGGTACTGTACTTCCTTACAAAATTACTTCATCTACAAAAGTCAGGAAGGGCTGACAAATCCTGGTTTAGATGGCAAGAATAATGAGCAAAGAATAATCATTCCTGTTTCTTGGTCCTCTAAAGCTGAGATTCTCCTCACTGGCTCTTGACATTAATTAACTAATTTTTTCCTCTTTGCCTTGGGCATAGAGAAATGAAGTCTTCAGAAGGTACAGCAGGTACACACCCATTCCGCTTCCTCTTTTCACCCAATATGCTGGCCTATACCTATAAAGTCACCTGGCTCCTGCTTATCTCTCCCACTTCACACCCTCCTCCAAGTCTCCTTCCCCTGGTCCAGCCTCCTTGGCTGGCCCTCTGGGTCTTTTCCTTGAAAACCAAGTGTGTTCCAGCCTCGGGGTCTTTGTATTCCATTATTCCAGTCCAGATAATGATACCTGAGGTCTTCGAGTGGCTTCCACCTCCTCAATCTTTATTGTAGAACTCAGGTGTTGCCCTCCTCAGAGACCTCCCCTGACTACCCAGCCAGTGGCCCTCACCAGGCATATTTTCAAGTATGTACTACTGAGTGCTTTTTATACATTTCCATTATATTTTTCTGGAGAGCATTTCATTTCTCAAAGAGGATGCATGGCATATTTCTTCTCCGTGCCAGTATGGCCCTTTTTTACTGAGTCAAGCTGGATTGCAAACAAGGAAGAAACAAATCTGTTTCTCGTTCCTGTGGGTCTTACAAAGAGCCCTGCAGGCTAGCTTCTTTGTTCACAAGCCAGGCGCCCCACCAACTTGAGGTGGGGTGGGGGTGGAAGAGGGGCACAATTCTAGGAACACGGTCTTGCTGAAGGTCAAAAAAGACCAAGAGAAGGAGCAAGCTAAGAACACAGATATTTATATATTCAGGTCACAGAGCAAGTCATAGAGAAAGCATGGCAAGAGAAGCAAACTGCTTCAAAAAATATACTTGCCCTGGTTGGTGTAGCTCAGTGGGTTGAGCATGGGCCTGGGAAGCAAAGGGTCGCCGGTTCGATTCCCAGTCAGGGCACATGCCTGGGTTGCAGGCCAGTTCCCAGCAGGGGACACATGAGAGGCAACCACACATTGGTGCTTCTCTCCTACTCTTTCTCCTCCCTTCCCCTATCTCTATAAATAAATAAATAAAAATGTTTAAAAAATATGTGGAATCCGATTGGTGTACTTTTGGGGGGTTAAAAAGTGGAATTCGGAAGCTGTTCCCTGTTCACTACAGTGAATAAAGTTTTAGGTGATTATACTGGCGAAAAAGTGGCCCCATTATCTTGCATCACCCTGTTTGTGTACTTTGCCCCATTCATTTACTTCTTAGTAATTTAATATTGTGACTATTGTAATGAGTGCTCTGTTTAAATGTTCACTGTCTTGGCCTCTCCCCCCAGAATACAAGCTCTGTGAATGCTGGGACCTGGCCTGTCTGAGTCACAACCGTCATCACTTGTGCCAGCACTGTCGCGGACAGAGCAGGGACTCAATAACTGTTGCTGAGCAGTGAATTTTTTCGAGAATTATTTTCAAATCCCGGTTGCACTTGTCTCAAGCAGTTATGGTTCCAACAACACTTGTTCAAAAAGACCTTTCAAGCCAAACTTCCTTAGAACAAAGAGGTTTAAATCTGAATTTACGCTCCACAAACCTCTTAAGAACCAATCCAATGAATTCAAGCCCAGCTCCTCAAAGCCGATACTCTTTGTATAGCAAGGAGCCCCACTCTGGCACCTGGCAAAATTTCTCCCCCCCATGCTTTCGCTTTTTTTTCTCCTTCCTGTGACTGTCACTGAAAACCACCTTGCTTCTTGGAGGCGCTCTACTGCAGTTGAACCAGAAAGGTCTCTCGGGAGGCTGATGTCCAACAACTAACGAGGTGGGGGTGGGGCCTTCTTCCCTGAAGCAAAACTGCCATCAAGTCACCTAAGGCAATCCTCACCCTTTTAGGCCTAGTCTCCCAGGTCTTTCCTAAGCCAGGAAACTGTCTGCAGTCAGGAAGAGGCTGGTGGTCTTCGGGTCGGCCTCCCACCCCTTCCTGCCACTGGGAGGGGCCGTGCTACATAACTCCTTGCTCAATAAAATTTACCCCCCCTCTCATCCACAGGAAACTTTCTCAGCCCTGACTCCTCCGCCTGCCCTCACTCCCAAGAACTCCCAGTGTCCCAGGCTTGGCTCCACCACAACCCCTGAGCTGCACCAACTCTCCCCGCTCAAACCTTGCCCAGGGCCTCTGGGATCCCAAATTACTCCCCGCACTTAATGCCCCGCCTTCGGCCTCTCAGCCATCCACTCCTCTCTGGGGAACCGCCCGGACCCTCACCGTGGATGTCGGGTTCTCCATCCGCCGCCTCGGCGCCTATGAGGAGCAGCGACGCCAACAGAGCGAGGAGCGCTCGGCCCCGCCTCGGCCCACACAGCTGCGCCATGACGGGCTCCTCCCGGCCGCGCAGGTGAGGCCTCTAGCAGCCTGCTGTCGGGGTCTCGCGATCAGGTGCGGGAAGCCCCTTGCCGCGCACGCGCACTTGAGCGCCTCGCGTTCAGGTGCGGACGCGCGCAGAGGGGTCGCGCTAGGGTTCTGGCCGAAGTCGTCGGGAAGATCCTTTCTCGGACCTTTGGTGTGAGGACCCTGATTCCTATGCTCACAGTTCAGAACACTCCTCACTCCACTCTTTGCCTCCAGTAACACACAGCGACTCCCCACCGTTCAGAACCGCGCCAGACACCCGAATGCTCGGTGAAAGCTGGAGCCAATGGCGGCCACCGCCTTGAGGGAGCTGCTGAAGGTTGCCCCTCTGGTAGGGGGCGGAGCCCACCTGGCGAGGCGGGGCGCACTAAGCGCAGGCGCAGGAAGCAGGCACCTGCGAGGCCAAAGCTCCTCCCTGGAGCGCACCTGGGCCCGCCCCTGACGCTGGAGAAAGGGGTGGGGCTTGCATAGGTGAAACCCGGTTGAAGGGTAGGCGAAAGTCCTGTGAGCTAGGGGTTCCTTCTACCCTTTCCCGTGGGCTGATCGATGATGTTCTAGTACCTTCCCTCTTTAGCTTGGGCCTCCGGGTGGGAGCAAAGGGCGCAGAAACGCTCTCTTGGAAACCTGTGGGGGGGGGGGTTTGCCCACCTCACTTAAGCCTTTCTTTGAGGAAGAGGGATTTATTTTTTCCTAAATTCTGCGTTCACTAAGCGCCTATTCGGAACGTTGCTGGAAATTCCGCGTTGACCGTGTCAGACTAGTCAGTCTGAGTCACCAGACTGGAGCAGCCGAGAGAAGTGATGACTGATGAAGGAATCTTAGGGCAGAGCAATTAGAGATGTGATTAGGGATGTGACAGGGTGATGGATGATGGGAACCCAGACAAATTCCCCATTCAGTATGAAAAAAAGGGCTTTCCCCAGGATGTTATAGACTCATGAATGAACAACAGCCTCAGGCTCTTCATAAGAATTTGAGATGAAGACAAATTATTCACCAGACTCCGATAGGTGTCAGGGCAGTGAAGGGAAGCACAGGCGGAGTAGTGCGACACATGAAAGGAAGGAAGCACTTGTCCGAGCTTGGGGGTGGGAGGACCTTCCAGGAAAGGAACTGAATCCCAAAAGGAGGGTGGAGTGGGAGAAGCATAGGAGTAGAGGAAAATAGCAAAGGAGACCTATTGAGCTGGGAAATAGGGGAGGACCCATGAGGAGGTGGTTTTGAAAATAAACACTGACAGATACAAAGGGATAATGGACAAACATTGCAGGAATTGGGAACAGCAAAAAGGAAAAGTCCTAAGACAGGAAAGACAGCAGAGTGTTACAGGAGCCAGGCCCACCCCCACTATTTTTTAACCTCCCTCCTGACAAGAGCAGGTTTATAGTTATGAGTACAGGAAACAGTTTATTCTTGTACTGTTATTTATTAATTTTTGTATTATTTGTATTACAACTGTGAACCTACTTAAAAAAAAGATTTTATTCACTTATTTTCAGAGAGAGGAGAAGGAAGGAGAAAAGAGAGGGGGAGAAACTTCAATGTGAGAGAGAAACGTGATACCTCCAACCAGGGACCTAGCCCCAAACTCAGGCATGTGCCCTGACTGGGAATAGAACCAGCAGCCTTTCAGTTCACAGGCGAGCACTCCATCCACTGAGCCATACCAGTCAGGGCAATTGTAGACCTACTTTTGCCCATCCCTGGTATGAAGAGCCTTAACTGGAGAAAATGGTGTTTATCTTACATAATTCAAGTTTTATGCTAGGCATCCTCTTTAATCTTGCTGTGAGGCCCTGGGACTCTAGATCAAGAATCTATATGTAGGCCGAAGGTCTTTCCAGTACCTTCGAGCGCCCCACCCCTACCCTGGGCCACTAAGCCCAAGCTTGAACTGGAAGACTAAGACTGTAGTAAGAGGTGAGGCTGGAGAGGAGACACAGGCCCATTCATTCATTCATCTAACCATTCAGTGCATTCATTGAGTACCCACTATAAGCCAGGTACTCCAGCATTTGTAACAATGCTGGAGAAGATACAACAGTGAACAAAGCAAAATTCCTGCCCTATTAAAATGTTGGGAACAGTGACGGAACTAGTGGTGAGACTAATTTTTTACACTTCTTCCTCTGTACCAGAAAATTATTTTTAATAATAATCGTTTTATTTGTTTTTATCTTTTAAAATTAACATTCGAATGTAAATAAATTTCAGTTTTAGAGCTATTATTCAAATGCAATAGAATATGTCATGTATAAATGAAAATTTGCATTTACCAAATAAAAATATTACACCTTGAAGTTTGTACCCTAATCCACTGTTTTAAAATTTAAACACAAAAACTCCAAAAGAATATGTAGAATAGCAGAATATTTTCTTCATCTTTATGATCATAGTGCCATCACTTTAATTTGTAATCTATTATTTAAATGCAAGAATATGTAGAATCACAGAGATTGGAGACTCATACTGTGCCTGATACAAGCCCAACTGATTCCAAATTATTATGAACTTATTTTCCAAATAAACCATAAAGAGGAATCTTTATTTTTAAAAGATTTAATTTTTTTATTTTTAGAGAGAGGGGAAGGGGGTCGAGAAAGAAAAGGGAAGAAACACTGATCAGTTGCTTCTCGAAAGCACCCTGACCTGGGACCCAACCCCCAAGCCCAAGCACGTGCCCTGAGGGGGAATTGAACTGAGACTTTTGGCTTTGTGGGGTCACGCCCAACCAGCTGAGCCACAATGATCGGGAGTAAATCTTTAGATGTCAGAGGTTAACTCTGGCAGTTCTCTATACAGGCCATCCTTGGAGATACTGCAGGTTTGGTTCCAGACCATGGCAATAAAGCAAGTGTAAAAGGAAGTTGTAATCTTTTTGCTGGTGGAGGGTCTTACCTTCAGTTTGTAAAAAGCACAACATCCATAAGGTACAATAAAGCAAAGCGCAAAAAACAAACAAGAAGCCCCCAAGGTATGCCTGTATTAATTTCCCTATAGAACATTGTGGCAAAAAGATGTTGGGCAGCCCCGTTTCCGGCCCATGTAATCCTCTCCCCTCAAGTGTGGGCAGCACCTGGGGCTCGGTCCTAAGCAACAGAATATGGCAAAGGAAGTTCGTGGTCACGTCACACTATACAAAACCCCATGTGAGTGGACTGGAGGGCTCTCCTTGCTGGCTTTGAAAGAAATACCATATTCTGCTGTGTATAATGCACACTTTTTTGCCAGAAGTTTTGAGGGAAAAGTAAGGATGCACATTACACATGGGTAGTACTAATTCTGGATTTATTTAAATGTTTTTAACTCTTATTTATGCTTATGCATTAAAAGTGTAACTCTAGAAAGCAATAACAATATCCATGTGCAAAATAATACCTTGGAATAGGATCATTGGTTTTGTTCCTGAATATAAATAAATAAATAATTGAATTAAAAAGTTAAAATGAAAGATTTTTTCCTGAAAGTTTGGGCCGAAAACGTGGGTGTGCATTAGACATGGCAAAATATGGTAATCTCCCACATTGTGAGAGGACCTGTAGAGAAGGCTGCACAGCAAAGAACTGTACGTGGCCTCAAAGAGCCAAGAGGAACCCCCGTGGACAGCCAGTGGGAAAAGGAAGACCAAATCCAAGTGGTTAGAAGCAGATCTTTTCTCCATTCAAGTCCCTGATGAGAGACTGCAGCCCCAGCTGACACCTGGATTACAGACTGGTGATTCTGGAGCAGGGGGCCCAGCTCAATTGTGACTGAACTAATCCACAGAAACTATGGGATAATAAGTGTGTGTAGTCACTGATTGTGCAGCAACCGAAAATGAATATAAATACAATGTTTACTAAAGGATAGAGTAATGAAAATATGTCATTTGAAGCTTATCTATATATTGTTAAAACTCTATAGTAATTGTTTCATAAGTAGGCCAACAAAAGGTTTTTTTTCCTGGGGGTGGGACAATCATTTAGCACTGATATTGTATAGAATTGTCAGTGCCTGGTACAGTAAAACCTTGCCCAGCCCTGGCTGGGTAGTTTAGTTGGTTAGAGCATTGTCCTGTTATGCCAGGGTTTCAGGTTGGATCCCTGGTCAGGGCACATGTGAGATTCAGGCAGTGGGTGCGTGGATGGGTGGAATGGCAGGTTGATGTTCCTCTCTCTCTCTCTCCCTTTCCTCCTTCCCTTCCTCCCTCCTCTATTCTTTTTCTAATAAATAAATATAAAATAATGAATAAATAATAAATTAAAAAATAAATGTCATCAACTTTTGATCAGTTGTATTATTATTTCCAAATTCTCTACAGATAGTACACCACTTTTTTTATTAAGAATTACTTTTTAGCCCTGGCTGGTGTGGCTCAGTGGATTAAGTGCTGGCCTGTGAACCAAAGCGACGCTGGTTTGATTCCCAAACTAGGGCACATGCCTGGGTTGCGGGCCAGGTCCCCAGTGCAGGGTGCACAAGAGGCAACCACACATTGATGTTTCTCTCCCTCTCTTTCTTTCTTCCTTCCCCTCTCAAAATAAATAAATAAAATCTTTAAAAAATTACTTTTTAAAAGATTTTAACTTATTTTTTAGAGAGGGCAAAGGAGGGAGAAAGAAAGGGACAGAAATATCAATGTGTGATTGCCTCTCAGGCACCCCAAGCATGTGTCCTAGACTGGGAATCAAACCAGTGACCCTTTGGTTTGCAGGTGGCACTCAATGCACTGAGCCACACCAGCCAGGACAGTACACCACGTTTTGCCTGTACCCAAGATGGACCACTCCTATTGCCCTCCCTTTGGGACAACACTAGTTAGAAAGCAGACAATAAGTAAAAAAGTAAAAGTAGGGTGGTTAGGGAAGACCTCACTCAACAGGTGACATTTGAGGAAGATGAAGGAGTGAGCCCTGTTGCTATTACTCTGGGGAAGAGCTTTCCTGACAGAGGGAACTGCCAGCGCAGAGCTGCTAAGATGGGATCATGCCTGGCGCTCTGAGTGTAAACTCAGGAACTTGGCCTTCAGCCTCAGGGCAGTGAAGAGCTGTGGGCAGTTTTTTGGTTTTGTTTTGTTTTGTTTTCAATGTATGGTTGCTTCTGGTGCAACCCCTGCTGGGAAGTGGCCCCTAGTTGTTTGTTTTTTTTTTAATATAACAGTTTTAATATAGCAGTTCACCCTTTTAAAGTATGCAATTCAGTGGTTTTTACTGTATCTGTGGAGCTGTGCAACTATCACTACAATCAATTCTAGAAAATTTCATCATCCTCAAAAGAAACCCCACGCTGTTGGGCAGTCATTGCCCCACCCGTCAATTCTCCCTGCCCCCAGCGACCTCCATCTATTTTCCGTACACGGATTTTCCTATGCTTAATAA